GCTTTTTGAAGCCTCTTGGAATATATTAGTCACACTTTACTGATCCACTCATCTGTTAATGGACACTTACATTGTTTCCATCTTGTCACTATTGTGAATAGTGTTGCAGTGACATGTTGTTAGGTGCTGTCTGGTCCCGCACCATCCTCACATCATTGCTATTTCTGAGTCCACTGTTGCAGCCACTGTGTCCATCCATCTCATTGGAGGTCTTACGTTTTTCTCCTGACCCTCCACTTTACCAAACTTGATGTTCTTCTTTAGGGACTTGATGTCCAAAGTATATGAGACGAAGTCTTGCAATCCTCACTTCTAGGGGCATTCTAGCAGTTACTTCTTCCAAGACAGATTTGTTTGTTTGTCTTGCGGTCCATGGTACAGTCAGTATTATTTGCCAACACCATAATTCAAATGCATCAATTCTTCTCCAGTCTTCCCTATTTATTGTCCAGCTTTCACATGCATATGAGGCCTTAGAAAATGCCATGACTTAGGTCAGGTGCACTTGAGTCCTAGCAGTAAAATCTTTTATCTTCAACATTTAAAAGAGTTTGTCAGATACAAAACATTGTTTGATTTTTTTTGTTTTTGCTTTTTTAAGGTTTTTATTGTGAAGTGAGTAAAAGTTTACAGGGTAGATCATCAGTTTTACATTCAACAAATTATACACCTTGTTTCATTACAATGATTTTAACCCTCCATGTGCCATCAGTTACCAATGTTTCTCTCCATTCACTTTAGCTTTTTTTTTTTTTTTTAACACTCAGGCATATAAAATAATTTACAGCTCCAAAGGGTACATTCTGCAAGTATGCCTCCTGGCTGCCATCTCTTAGTCCCTCATTTCCCATGAATCTAGAGTTCTCAGCTGTTCCCTCTCTCTGCTTGATTTTTGGACTATTGCTTTTTTGAATGTTGATCAGAGTAGAATGAAATCCTTGGCAGCTTCTATCCTTTCTCCATGTATTATGATGTTGTCTGTTAGTCCAGTTTTGAGGGGTTTTCCCTTTACTTTTAATTATAATCTGTGTTGAAGACTGTTTTCTTTGATCTTTATCAGTAGTTGCTTCAAGTCCTCTTTGCTTTCAGTATGCAAGATTGTGTCATATGCATGTCACAGGTTGTTAATGAATCTTTCTCCAACCCTGATGCCACAGTCTTCATATAGTCCAGCTTCTAAGATTATTTGCTCAGAGTACAGATTGAGTAAGTATAAGTATGGTGACACATACAGTTCCTGATTTTATCACTTTGTATTCCCTTGTTCTGTTCCAATGACTGCTTCTTGGTCTATATTCAGATTCTACGTAATTAAACATTCTGGAATTCTCCCTTTTTGGGGGGTGGGTGCGTTAAGGGGTTAGGGTTGAGGTTATGACTAGGCCTAGGACTTTGTTTATTGTTACGTCTATGATTAGGACTAGGGTTAGTGTTAAAGGAAAGGGTTGGGCTAGGGCTAGGAATAAGACTTGGTCTAGTTTTTAGGGTGACAGGTTTATTTTTATTTATTTTCTTGAAATCTGTTATGTTTTTTCCCTCATTAGGGAGTTCTGTAATTTCATTATTCTCTCTTGTTTAGTTTATGATTTGTTATTGTGACTTTGTCTCTGGTTCTCTGTTTTCAGTCTTACAGGTCTGTTTTACTTTGCATACTTCTACATCTGGGTTAAGTTTTGGTGATGTTGCCATGCATGTTAGTCTCAGATTGTTGTAAGGTTGGTCCAGTTTTTACAAATTCTTTTAAATTCTGTTTGTCTGAAAATGTCCTTACTTCACTGTCATATTTGATGGACAGTTTTGCTGGCAATTTTTTTCTTTCCAAGTTTTATATATGTCATTTCATTGTCATCTTGCCTGCATGATTCCTGCTGGGAAATCAGTCTTACTATTAGTTCTCCTTTGTAGGTAACTTTTTCTTATTTACTGGATTCTTTCCTTGTCTTTGTGGTTTTGCTAAGTTTGATTATAATGTGTCTTGTGTTTTTCTTTTGGGGTTTGTCCTGTTTGGCGTTCATTTAAGTTCCTGAATAGCTATGTTCTCGTCGTTCATGATGATAGGGAAGTTTTCTTCCAACAATTCTTGGGCAGTATTCTATATGGTTTTTTTGGTCTCTTCCTGGTTTGGAATTCCTATCACATGTAAGTTATTCTTCTTGATAGTATTCCACATAAATCTTAGACTTTCTTTGGATTTTTTTGTGGTTGTTCCTTTAGTAAAGGCGTCTGGCCCTGCCAAGGCAACCAGTTTCAGCTATCACATTAGGGTTGAGTTAATGAAATGCTTGACTAAATAAAGCAGGCAGTTTTTAAGTTGATAATTTTGTATTACCTGTGAGCGATAGTATAAATTTTGGCAGAAAAAAGTGACCCACCCCTGCTTTAGCAGATGAATATGTAGAGATTTTTCTTTAAGCTCAGTAATTCTGCCTTCCTTTGATTCATGATTTTTTGTCCTTTTAATGTATTATCTAGGAACACTGGTAGTGTAGTGGTTACGAATTGGGCTGTGAACTGCAAGGTCAGCAGTTTGAAACTACCAGCTGTTCCGTGGGAGAAAGCAGAGGTTTCCTGATCCCTTAAAGATTTACAGCCTCGGAAACCCTGTATAATGTCGCTCTGAGTTGGAACTGACTCCATGGCACATAACCACCACCACCAATGTATTATCTATTTATGAAGTCTTAGTTTTAATCTTCTGACTTTCTAATTGTTTTTGTATGGTTCCCATTTTTTTCAATTATTTTGTCAGTTTGTTTCCTGAAAATTTCCAGATTTTTGTCTATGTTTTTCTTGATTTCATCGTAGTTTTCTTGATCTTTCTCACAAATTGTTGAAATTATCTAATTAACATTCTTTTGAATTCCCTTATCAGGTAGTTCCGATACCATATCTGGTGTTCTATTTTCTGGCTGTATTTTGGTCACTTATTTGATGTGCTATGCCTTATTTCTTTGTATAAGCTGAAATTGTCTCTTTTTTCCAAGACATTATGGTGTCGTATTTATATTTAGTTGATAATTGTATATTAGTATATTCTCAGGCACACACCACCTGTCTCCTGGTGCATGTGATGGTAGAGAGTGGATGTATGATTGCAGTTAGTTAGTTAGATCGCAGTTAGTTGTTCCTGGTTTGTGTAGCTTAGTTCAGATTGGGTTCACATACCTCCAGAAGCAGGGGTACTATGCTAGGCACCCAACCCCAGGCAGTGCAGAGGCTACCCATGAGGGGGTGTCACTAGTCCCTGGTGAGGATAGGAACTAGCCTAGCCCCTGGATAGTTGCATCCCCTTGCTGCTAACCTCCAGCCTTGTCTTATTGCCTACAAGCTGCTATATGGACATTCTGTACCATACCAGCCCATATTCTGCCAGTGTTTATTTTCTCTCAGTGCTCCTGTTCAACCTGCTCTTCCAGTTGGCACTCAGTCCACATCTGTGTCCTTTCCTCTGATGCTCAGGGTTCTAGGACCACCATCTGTAGCTGTGTCAGTTGGTCTCCCGTGTCTTTTTTGCAGAGTCAGCTCATTGTTTCCACTTACTCCACCATCTAGCCTCCAACTCCCACCATCTGTTTCTACAGTGAGTTTGTCACCTGCTGGTGGATCCTTCAAGTCATTTTCTTTTAGCTTCCTCTGGGAAAACATGCCTCTGGCTGCCTGTTAAAGCCATGCATTAGGATTTGAGTTCCAGTGTATAACTTCCTTTTGTTTTTAGTTATTGTGAGGTGATGTCAAGTTAGTTCTAACTCATAGGGACCCTATACAAAACAGAAGAAAACAGTGCCCAGTCCTGCGCCATTCTCACCATCATTGCTGTGTTCGAGTCCATTGGTGCAGTCACTGTAGCAGTCCATCTTGTGGAGGGTGTTCTTTTTAGCTGACCCTCTCCCTTACCAAGTAGGATGTCCTCTAGAGATTGGTCTTTCCTCACTGTAGCATCTCTATTGAAATATGACTTACATCCCATAAAATTCACCCTTTTCATATGTGCAGTACAGTGTTTAACTTTCTTCCTTAATAATTAGAAGTTAAACACTCTTCTGTTTTTGAGGAAACATGTATTTTTTTATATGTAAATACCTAATTTTATTAAAAAAATAGTGTTTTAGGTGAGCATTTACACAACAAAGTAAGTTCCCTTTTAACAACTTTTATGCAGATTGTTTCATGTTTTATTATTTCCTTTCTGTTTGTTTGGTTTTCGTTAATTCACCTTCCCTGCCCCTCCTTAACTCATCTTTGCTCTAAAAGACAAGTTGATCAGTTGGTCCCAGATAGTTGAGTATTTAGAGAAGCACTTTATTTGTGGGTGATAATGTGTATTTTATAAGCCAGTCTATGTGAATAAAAAGAGTGACCAATGGGAGTGGCTTCAGTTCCAAGTTCAATGGGTACTTTAGGGCAGTAGTCCTGGGGGTTTCTCTAGTCTCTATTGGTCCAGGAAGTCTGGCCTTTTTTAGGAACTTGAGTTTAGTTCTACATTTTTCGTCCATTCTATCTGTGACCTTTTGTTATGTCCCTGGTCAGAAGAGTTGGAAGTGGTAGCCAGGCACCATCTCATTCTTCTGATCTCAGGTTAGATGAGGTCATGGTTCTTGTGGTCTCTAATGCCCCTGTAGACTAGTTAGTTTCTTCTTTGAATCTTTGCTTTCCTTCTCTTTTGTTCCATACACGTCAAGACCAATAGTGCTATCTTACTATAATTTTTAATTGTTTATTGTGAGTTGGGTGAAAGTTTACAGAGCAAATCAGTTTTCATTCAATGATTCATACACATTTTGTTTCATGCCATTGACTAGCATCCCCACAATATAACAGCAATCATCCCACTTCTTTCCCATATGGAAACCAAATTTTAAAATATCCAGACTGTGCTATAAGATTAACAGTGGTCCAAACCAGTGTGTAGATTCCCTAGCTTTTATCTCATTAGGGGCATATACTATGTAGCCTTTTCTTGTTAATAATTTGACCTGAAATTCTTTACTTTAAACTTGTAGGCACAAGTTCTTCAGCCAAGCGGAGTACTTCCACAGGTAATAAAGAATCCAGTTCTACTAGAGAAAGATTGCGTGAACGTACCCGGGTAAGCCAGAACAAAAAGCTACCTTCTGCAGGTCAGGGCGCTAATGATGTGACACTGGCCAAGCGTCCCCGCAGCCGCACCACCACAGAGTGTGATGTGCGTATGAGCAAGTCCAAGTCGGACAATCAGATCAGTGACAAAGCTGCCTTGGAAGCCAAAGTGAAAGACCTCCTCACGCTGGCCAAAACCAAAGACGTGGAGATTTTACACCTGAGGAATGAGCTCCGTGACATGCGTGCTCAGCTGGGCATTAGTGAGGACCCTCCTGAGGGGGATGAGAAGTCCGAGGAGAAGGAAACCGTTGCTGTTCACCAACCAACTGATGTTGAGTCCACTCTGTTGCAGTTGCAAGAGCAGAACACTGCCATCCGTGAGGAACTCAACCAACTGAAAAATGAAAACAGAATGTTAAAGGACAGATTGAATGCGCTGGGCTTTTCCTTGGAGCAGAGGTTGGACAATTCTGAGAAACTGTTTGGCTACCAGTCCTTGAGCCCAGAAATCACCCCCGGCAACCAGAGCGATGGAGGAGGCACCCTGACTTCTTCTGTGGAGGGCTCGGCCCCTGGCTCTGTGGAGGACCTTCTGAGTCAGGATGAGAACACACTCATGGACCACCAGCATAGCAACTCGATGGACAACCTGGACAGTGAGTGCAGTGAGGTCTACCAGCCCCTCACGTCGAGCGACGATGCTCTTGATGCACCTTCCTCCTCTGAGTCTGAGGGCATGCCGAGCATAGCACGCTCGAGGAAGGGGAGCAGCGGCAATGCTAGTGAAGTCTCTGTTGCTTGCTTAACAGAACGGATACACCAGATGGAAGAGAACCAACACAGTACAAGCGAGGAGCTCCAGGCCACCCTGCAGGAGCTGGCTGACCTACAGCAAATCACCCAGGAACTCAACAGTGAGAACGAAAGGCTCGGCGAGGAGAAGGTTATCCTCATGGAATCACTGTGTCAGCAGAGTGACAAACTGGAGCACTTTGGTCGCCAGATTGAATACTTCCGCTCCCTCCTTGATGAGCATCACATTTCGTACGTTATAGATGAAGATGTGAAAAGTGGGCGCTACATGGAACTCGAGCAGCGCTACATGGACCTCGCTGAGAATGCCCGCTTTGAACGAGAGCAGCTTCTTGGGGTCCAGCAACATCTTAGCAATACTCTGAAGATGGCAGAGCAAGACAACAAGGAAGCTCAAGAAATGATAGGGGCACTCAAAGAACGCAACCACCACATGGAACGCATAGTTGAATCTGAGCAGAAGGGGAGGGCTGCCTTGGCTGCCACTTTGGAGGAGCACAAGGCCACTGTGGCCAGTGACCAAATTGAGATGAATCGCCTTAAGGCCCAGCTAGAGAATGAAAAGCAGAAGGTGGCCGAGCTGTACTCCATTCACAATTCTGGGGACAAGTCTGACATCCAGGACCTTCTGGAGAGTGTCCGACTGGACAAGGAGAAAGCAGAGGCCTTGGCCAGCACCCTGCAAGAAGACCTGGCTCACACACGCAATGAGGCCAATCGGCTGCAAGACACCATTGCTAAGGTATGGCTTAAATAGATGCAACATCCTGGGCCAACATCTCCCGGCAGAATATGTCACACTTTCCGAGAGCCAGGACCACATGTCTGCTGTGCTGTTAGCATTTTTTTTTTTTTTTAAAACCAGCTGGAGTGTGGTTTTCTTTCATTGGGATAGAGTTGTTGTTGTTGTTGTTAAGTGTCATTGAGTCAGTTCCAACCCACAGCGACCCTGTACAGGGTTTCTGAGGCTGTAAATCTTTACAGGAGCAGAAAGCCTCATCTTTCTCCTGCAGAGCAGCTGGTATAGAGTAAAACACATTTATTACTTTGCCCTTGGTGGTTATGTATGCATTTGTATAAGTTATCCAGTGGTTTGTGTACCTCCATACCTTGAGTGGAGAATGATGGGGGCATTCTACCATGGGATCGAAAAATGGTTTCTGATAAACCCCCCAAAATAATAGTAACATTCACCAGCATTTCATTTTTGTTTCCTGGCCTGTGAGAGGTTGAGCTGAGAGTTCCTGCAAACACTAGAGTTTGTCCCTAATTCTGTGTATCCCCCCACTACATTGTGTCATGCAGTTTTACATTCTCATCTGTAGTGTACATATATATGATATAAGTTTCTGACCTAAGAAAGGCATCCGGTATATAGGGTCATGGTGATTTTAAATTGAGTTCCATCATGAGTTAAACATCTCTCTACATGTTTGGCATATACAGGCTCTTGTTTGGCAGGATTCTTAATGGGGCTGTGTGTTTCACACACAGCATACCAGTGAGGACTTGGAGCTTTATCCCAGGGCTGTGGGTACACCAGTCATGGCACTGCACTGCATGGCTTCTGAGTTCAGGTGTATCTGCAGGATTTAGCCTAATTCCTCTCTGTTACATTTTACTGATATTCTCATACAGCAATTTTTTAAAGTAAGTCATTTTCATATATTTTTGACTAAATGGGGAATAATTGAGACTTAAATTTTTGTAGTGACTGCTTTCAGAGATACAATTTAGGAGATGTGCTTTCCTTGTGGGGCATATATGTGTGTAGGACCCCTGGTGCCACAGTGGTTTAAGCGTTAGGCTGCTAACTGCAAGGTCAGTTGTGTGAACTCTTGGGAGAAAAGATGAGGTTGTCTGCTGCCATAAAGATTTACAGTCTTAGACTTCTTAAGGGAGCCATTCTGCTCTGTCCTTAAGGTTGCTGTTAATCAGAATGTCCCGAAGGCAGTGGTGGTGGTTGTTGGTGTGTGAGAGAGAGTTCATGGGGGGAGAGGGGAGACTGTTATGATCTTATGCTTTCACAAAGGTAATATTTGAGAGCTTTTTGTTTTGTTGCTTTTGTTAGGTTTCCATCTCCAATTTGATGTTGAGACTGTCACAAATCAAACATAGTTTTGTAGGAGAGCAAATTAATTACTAACCTAAATGTATGCTTTAACCCCAAGCCCTGGAGAAGGGAAAATTTCCAGAATTTCCCCTTGAAGTAATCTAGTTAAGTTCAGTAGCATGTCAGTATGATTTCATTCAGTGATGTTATAGCAACAATTGATGCTTAAGCACACAAAGGGGCTTCAAAAGTTGGTGGAAAAAACCCATTATTTCTTAATTTCCTTTTCCCACAAGCGTTTTGAAGCCCTCTCATATCACATGGAGTTTGGTGCTAGTGAAAATGCGCTTTCTCGATCTGCAATAGTCAGCTCGTGTGTAGGAACTCACACTTAGCTTCAAGTTGAAACAGTGGGTAATTTGTTCAAGATCTAGAATTTTATCTTAGACTCACTTATATTTTTCTAAGTCTGCACTATCAATTTTATAAAGGTGGAAGATGAGTACCGAGCTTTCCAAGGAGAGGCTAAGAAACAAATGGAAGATCTGAACATGACATTGGAAAAATTACGATCAGATCTGGAAGAAAGGGAGACAGAGAGGAGTGACATGAAGGAAACCATCTTTGAACTTGAAGATGAAGTCGAACAGCACCGAGCTGTGAAGCTTCATGACAACCTCATTATTTCTGATCTGGAAAGTAAGTGATGGGAGAAATTTTGTCATTTTTGTCTTATCCTTTTCGTGTGTGGCAAGACCCATTGCCGTTGAGTGTACTCCATCCAGTTCAGTGACCCCATAGAACAGAGTAAAATTGCCCCATAGGGTTTCTGAGACTATAAATCGTACACGAACAGATTATCTGATATTTCTCCCATGGAACAGCTGGTGGGTTCAAACTACCAACCTTTCAGTTAGCAGCCCAACACAACCCTCTGTGCGTGCCATCAAGGCTCCTTTTACTGAGAACCAACCCAAACCAACAAATCTAATGCTGTTGAGCCAATTCCAACTCATAGCTACCCTATAGGACAAAGTAGAACGGCCCCCATAGGGTTTCTGAGACTGTCAGTCTTTTCGGAGCAGACAGCTTCATCTTTTTCCTGCAAAGCAGCTGGTGGGTTTGAACCACTCACCTTGCAGCTAGCAGACTGATGCTTAACCCACTGTACCCCCAACACTACTTTATAGGAAGATGTTTCAAAAAGTTGATGGAAAATGGAATGAAGACCCTGGAATTTTTCCACCAACTTTTTGAAGTCCCTTTATATGTGGAATTGTTTGCCCAAAATGTACAGGTTCCTGCTGGCAGTGCAGTAGCACAGCTGACTGGGAGAGGCATGCATGCAGTTGGTGCATCCACATCACAGGCTGGGGATGACCAGGTCCTGTTCCAAAGGAAAGCTCTGCCTCGTTAGGAAGACCAGTGACACGAACAGCCATTTGTTCTGGCTCCTGGCGCCAGCTGATGCGCATAGAGATGGTGCTGCTCCCCAACAAAACACAGGCTTCTGTTGGTTTGCACCTCTGTTTTCCTTTCCACCACATGGCTGTTTTGGTCTGGTGGGATTGAAATTTAGGATTTAGGTTTCTTTCTCTTTGTTTTTTAAATATTGTGTTTTTGGTTGAAATATACACAGCAAAACATTCTCCCTTTCAACAATTTCTGGACACATGAGGGGACTTGAAAATGTTTGTGGAAAAAACTGCATTATCTTTGAATTCCATTTTCCCACAAATTTATAGAAACCTCCTGGTGTGATATTCTGTGATGTTGGCTCCACTCTTTACATTGTGTCAATGTTGTCGTTATTTCTGTCCTAGTTGTTTCCCATTATTGCTGGTTCACTGCTCTCCCCCACACAAGACCCCCTCCCACCCTCAAGTTTCCAATCTATGCCTTAGAGGTGCCTGTTTGGTCTCAGTTTTTTTTTGTAATTTTTGGGCAAAACCATTTCACTTAAAGGTGACTTCAGGGGATAATTTTGCTTTAAAGTTTAGAGAGTATCTCATGACAATAGTCTCAGGAGTTCCTTCAGCTTCTGTGGGTCCAGTGTGTCTGGACTCTTATGATTTGAACTTCCATTCCACTTCAAAAAAAAAAAAAAAAAACAAACTTTTTATAAACCTTTTATTTTGTAATTACTTCAGATTTACAAAAACAGTTGCAAAAATAGCACAAAGAATTTGTATGTAGAAATGTTGGTGAGGCAGGATAATTTCATGGTCTGAAATTGTCTTCTCACACATGATTTATTAGTTGCAAGTGAGGACAAAGAAACAATCAGTAATTATGCAATGGAGAAACTGCGCCACCCTGTGAACGATCACATGAGGGGCAGAAAAACACAGGCAATAAGGCCACTGGGCCATAATCTGACTGACAATGCAGAGCCCCAGTGTAATCATAAGGAAACATCAGATGAAAAATGAGCTGTGTTCTAATAGGCATTTGGTTTGTGGGTGCATCTGAAAGGGTTTCAAAAACTTCATGGGCAAATTCTACTATCTTTTTTAAAAAAAGTTTTTATTGTGAATTGAGTGAAAGTTTACAGAGCAGATCATCAGTTTCACACTCAACAAATCATATACTTTATTTCATTAAAATGATTATAATCCCCTCCATCTACCATCAATTAACAGTATTTCTCTCTATTCATTTTAGCTCTTTTTTTTTTTTAAACATTCAGGCATATATAATAATTTACACCACCAAAGGGCACATTCTGCAAGTCTGCCTCCTGGCCACCAGCTCTCAGTTCCTCTCTTTCCATGAATCTAGAGTCCTCAGCTGCTCCCTCTCTCCATGTCCCCATCTCTGCCTCCATCTCTGGTGTCACTGCTTCTCTGGAGAGCGTCCTGCATTCCGCTCATGCTCTTCTCCCTTGATGGTCCTATGGTCCTCTGTTTCTGGACTTTAAGATTAACTTCTCCCCTATTTTTGTTACAAAACTTCTACCTTTACAGTTGTGATAGTTGCAATTAGTCATGATAACAGTTACTATTGAATCATAAGAATCTTGTCCCCATCTCTTTCAACCAGATCCATCTAGACAAGATGAAAACTATTCAGTGGGGATTCTTTCTTCCCCACACACTATTAAACTAAACTCCCCTTTGAAACCTTGTAAGCCAGTCACTTCATGCCTTTATCCCTTCTCCACTATCTTTTCATTCATATTTCCACAAACTTTTGGAAGCCCTCTTGTACTCTTTAAAAATGCCAATCTCCACCTTAGAAGGAGGCTAGAGATCCATGACAGTACCATGTAACATTGGTGTTGAGACAGGGCCCGGTAGTGTAGGGAGAAACAGCTCTAGTGGACATTATGTCAGAATTGGAAGATAGTGGGTTAGATCAAAGAATTGTGTCAGGATACATTTATGAAGCTGACCACAGTGCTGTGCTTATGAAAGAGAAAATCCTTGTTCTTGGGAACCGCTAATTACTGAGACATAAAAGGCCATGATAAATACCTTCCAACAGGTGAGAAGAAAAACTATGTGTACCTAGTTGGAGACAGAGATAAACTGTCATCATAGGCAAATCTGAGTGAAGGGCAGGTAAGGATTCCTTACTACTGTTTATAGAAATTTTTGTAAGTTTGAAATGATTTCCAAATAAAATGTTTAAAAATTATATATTCTTCATCCAGAGTCCCTCAAATGTGAACACATTTGAAGTTTTATAAAAGTTTTATTACCCTTCTATGTTGCCCAGGTGGGGATGGATGAGGAAGATACAGGTGATCTTTCCAATGCATTGGTTAAAACTTTGTGAACGTTTGATGGGTGTCCCTGCTCCTTTGAGCTCTCAGATATTGCTGTTCCTTGATGGAGCTGGGCCGATAGTCAAATGTATCCTTGAGCAAAAACCCGTGTGTTGAGGATGCAGAGAATGCACACACCACTTGTGGGAGCCTTTCCACATGTCTTGTGGCGATTCTCAGCCCTGGTGGGTTTTCCTCAGAGCTACGGGGTGCATCCTGAGACCTCGTTTCTCTTAGGCAAGCTTGGGGAAGGTGTTAAAGTTACACAGATGAACTTTCTCATGTAGACTTTAAGATAGACAACAAATGTGTAGTGTAAACTTCATATCTAGTTTGTATTTCATTGTCTTTGAATTGAGATTTAACTAACATCACTTCCTAATGTGATCAGTGGGTATCAATCCCTGGAGAAGGGCATCATGCTTGGTCAGCAAAAAACAGGCAGACCCATCACGAGGTGGACTGACAAAGTGGCTGTCACAGTGGGCTCAAACACAACATTGATGGTGAGGTTGGTGCAGGATTAGGGTCGCTGTGAGTTAGAACCAACTCGATGGTGCCTAACAACAACTGCAGCAAATATCAGAGGTTCTGAAGGGATTTTTTAGATTAATGTATATAATATATGCTCACTACGTTTTCCAGTTGGTGTTGGTAACACTAGGAAAACCTGGGGATCTGCTTCCAAAAACTTAACCACTGAAAACTCTTTGGAGCCTAGTTTTTGCTTCCACACACACAGGGTAGCTGGAATTGGTAATGACAGTCAAAGAGTTTGCTGTTTTGAATGTGGAAAGAGTGACACCTAGTGGCAGTGGGGCTGATTGTGGGGACAATGTTACAAGATCAGGATCCCTGGAAGTCTTAAAAAATAAAAACTGTATGAACATTACATGGATTTTAATTACAAAGTGGCTGAAAAAAAAAACCGTACTTTTTCAGTCTTGTAGCTACTCTCCCTATTTTTAGTTTTTAAGTCTTTTGTTGTGAATAGAGTGAAGGTTTACAGAGCAGATAGATCATCAATTTTACATTTAACAACTCATATCAGCTGTAATTGTTGTTAAGTACTGTCAAGTGGGTTCCGATTCAGAGACCCTTTATAGGGTTTCTGAGAAGTGGAAAGGATACTGTAGGTAAGATAACTGACAATGGCAGCTTGAAAGGTTAGATGAGGTTTAAGATGATATCTGTCTGTGGGATACTTTGGAAAAGGATAGTGAATGGCAGCACAGCCAGAAGAATGTCCATGTAGAAATTGTTGAAAACGGTGCCTTTTTTTTCACACACACGCACACGAAAAGAATGAATAGCATAGGTGTTACCCTAGATTTGACGATTGTTTACATCAACTGTCAACACTCACAGAAGCAGCAGTCAAGAAATCAAATGACGTATTGCATTAGGCAAATCTGCTGCTCAAGACATTTTTAAACTGTTGAAGAGCAAAGATTTCAGCCTGAGGACTAAGGTGCACCTGACCCAGGTCATGGTATTTTCAGTAACCTTATATGCATTCAAAAGCTGGACAGTGAATAAGAA